GAATAAGATATCATATTAATGATTGTCTTATGGGCCTATTAACTTTAATAGAGATCTAGGGAAAAAGTTACTAATAGACGGAGAAAAAGAAGAAATAACATAGGAAGTGTAAATAAACTAAATTTAGAACTAAGGGCAGAATTAAGTGTTAAATCAGAAAGTGCTCCCATTACCTTAATAGTAAGTTCAGTAGGGTGAAGTCAGGCAATAGCATTAATCACTGTAAATTCTTTTTTAAAAACCTTAAAGAGAGACATTGTGGGAAACAGCTATGGTGTAATGGACCAAGCACAAGATTTAAGACTTTCCAGTCCTCACTCTGTCATTTAGCAGTTTTGTGACCTTTATCTATAAAATGAAGTTAATAATCCTTACCCATCGGGGTTGGGATTTCATAAGGTCACACATGTGTATGTGGCACCAAGTGAGCATTTTTGTCAGAACTCTTGCAACTGCAGGCGACAGAAATGCAACTCCAAACATTATTTACTGGCTTGCATGAATAAAATAAGATGCAGTGCTAGGGCTTTAAGTATGTCTAGAGGCAAGAATTCCACTGCTGGCACCAGGAGCCCAGCTCTCTCCATCTCTTGGCTATGCTCTCATTTGTGCTAACTGCATCCTCAGGTTGGCTCTTCCCTTGAGGGAACAAAATGGTGGCTGGCAGCTCCAAACATAAATCTTCACAGTTACAGAGCTTTTTCACCATAATTCCACCCAAAGTTTTAACAGTGCTCTCTCTGGCCTGGACTGGACCACAGGGCTACCTCTAAACCAACCGTTACCTTGGACAAGGCAATTTACTGCCCTGATCTGCCTGGTTTGGGCCATATGCCTTGTTTTGGAGCCAGAGATAAAGTTAGCCCCAAATGACCTACAGACACTAAGGGAGAGAAAGATAATGTCCCAGAGGAAACCCATAATGCTGTTGTAAGAAAGGAGACACTATAAAATGACAAAAAACAAACTAAACCCAATAGTATAGAGGTTCAGTTAGTATTTGTTGCATCTGTATCAGTTGCATTTGGGTATCATGTCTCTGAATAGACCAGAAACAGAGTATAGAACCCAGTCCCTGTGCTAATTATGTTTTCAAAATAATGTTTCTTCTGCAAGAAAATGCAATAATAAAAATACCACTGTTTTCTTTGAGCACAGAGAGCCCACTCAAATAGCCTTGTGCTTCAGGAAAAAAAATCATCGCTATGAAAAATGCATTTCTTGCTTGGCTCATGAGCTGGGGAAGAGGATATTGAAATATTAATATTTAGTGCATGCACGTAGAAATGACCCTGTATGCATAAATATGCCTTAGCATCTCCATTTATACCTACATCAAGGAAAAAATTAAATTATGACATACTGCTGTGAAAAAATGAAATGAAACACCAGACATATATTAAACTTAAAGAACAGAAATGAACCCACAACTCAAGAAAATCTGGAATCTCAGATACTCCGCTTTCCTTAATATAGATCTCTGTGCTCTTCTCTGTTTCTATTGACTAGTTGTGAACTGAGTGATATACAAAATTAATAGCTTTTTACATGTTGCTTTGCCCAAAGAACTTGAAAAAGCAAGTCTCTCCCAGCTTAAGTACAACATGTTTCTCTACCACCCAATTCCTCCCTCTCTTCACAACCACGATTCTAGAAGAGGCAGTCTACACTAGCTGTCTCTTCTTTTTCACTCCTGCCCCCATTCACACACTAGTTCATGAAAAACTGGTTTCTGTCTCTACCACATAGGAACTGCCCTCACTAATGAGCTTTTCCCAAATCCAACAGGTCCTTTCCCATCCTTATTTTATTATGTATCTATTATGTTCTCTCTTCTGGAAACTCTCCTTTCTCGATTTCCGTTTCACCAATCTCTCCTAATTTTCTGCCTACTTCTTTGGGTGCTGCATTTCAGTCTCCTTCACAGCTCCCTTTCCTCTGTCTACCTTTTAAATATGACTTCCCTGTGTTGGTTCTTACTCCACATAATCTCCCATAGTCCTATGTCTTCACTTTCCCTTTATACGCTGGAGGCTCCCAGATCTTTATCTCAATCCAAGATCTTTGTCTTTATCAAACTGCCCCTGGACATCTCCAGTGGTCTGTCCTATGCTTGGGAAAAGAGGACTAGGGGAAGATCCCAGAGAAACAGCAATATCTAACAGATGTACGGAGGAAGAAGAACGCTCAGGGCTCAGAGATGTACGAAAACCACGGGTGAGTGATCTCCTGGCAGCCGAACCAGAAAGATTTTTTGAAAGAAGAAAGGGCATAAAAGTATTATATGCAAGATCAAGTGCCATGAGGACTGAAGACTACCCTTTTAAATTAATACCTAAAAGTCATCTGGGCAAGAGACATTTCAGTGGTTAGGCATAAGCTAAACTGTGCTGGGTTATAAGCCCGTATATTTTTTCTCTCTAACTATGTTCATGTATTATTCTGATTTAAAATAAAATTTAGAAAAGTTAACAAAGTAAAATTTAGTAACAAATATAACCACAAAACATTTTAACTAATTAATTAATTAAATATCATCTCACTTAAAAAGAAGTAAGCCAAGTAGAAAAGCAAATATAGAGAACATGAGCCATTGTTTTAAGAACTTGACTGAGGTGGGTAGAAATAGTTAATTGCAGATGAGGGGTAACAAAGTGCTTCTTTATTGGATTGATTGAAGGGGTGCTCATTTTTAAGCCAGGAGAAAATGTGAGGCTCTTTATTAAAGGGGAAAAACCAATACGGAATTAGAAGCGGGAAATCCAGGAATTGGAGAGGGAGGGGGAGATTGTAATGCTGGATAAACTTCCAACCACCTCCACTGGGTTCTGTCAAGAGCACAGCTTCGCATGGGCTTCACCCGGTTTCACTTCCAACGCCTTCAGTAATTCTCTGTTAAGCACAGGTTAAAATTTAATCCTCAGCCTTGCATTTAAATGCTCTCCCATATTACATCCCAGAAGTCTTACTCAAAATAATGCTGGGGGCCTTTCCTTACCTCTTTGTTGTCTCTCTGCTTATAGATAAACTCATCTATTTCTTAAGACCTAGTTCAAGTTCCTCTTAGTTTTCCCCAACTTCCTCAGTTCACAGCAATCACTCCCTATAGAGAACTTCCATGGCATTTATATGGTTCTTCATTTTTCCTGACTTGTATAATTATTTACCCAATTATGTACACATTCCTGTGTACAATCAGTCATAAACCCATAAAGAGTTTTGCCCCTCCAGCATCTGGAGAATCCCCAGCTTTGACTGTGGGGCCCTTGTATTAGGGGCAATTACAACAGAGTGGTTTTGTAAAAGCATTGGCAAAGGCTGACATTGACTCTATGGAGTTCAGTAGGGAGCAGCAGGAGCCAGATAAGACATAAGACAGAAAAGGGGAATGCACAATTCTAGGAAGATCAAAGCCATTCAAATAAATATTTATTGAGCAACTACTATGAAGAGGGTATTGCCCTAGATACGAAAGATACAGCAGTGAACAAAGCAGAACTCTGCCCTCATGGAGCTTACAGTCTGGAAGAGCAGACACGTAATTTCAACTGTGACATGTGGAAGAAAAAGGAAAGAGTAATATGAGAGAGTACCATATCCTGTATATTCCTGGTGGCTTGAGCACAGCCTGTTACACAGCGGGCACCCCCTGCCTGAAACGAGGGAGAAGAGAAAGGAAGGAAAGTGAAGGGGAGGGCAAGGAAGGAGAAAGGAGAAGGGACATTAGCTAGGGATCAGATTACCTCCTATGTCATTGATGGTATAAATATTGATGGATTCACAAAACGGATATTTATTAAGTACCTACTGTATGTGAGATACTGAGATGGAGTTATTTTCTATTTCTTACAGGTTGGTGGTGAAAACAAAAAGAAACTTTTGAACTACGCAACTTCTAGAATCTTTTGCTTGCTTCTCTAACACCATGGACCTCAGTCATCAGCTCCATATAGCAGGGTCCTTCCTACCCACATTAGTTGTGCACAGATGTTTGTTGGGTTGAACAGCTAAGATGAGTTTTCTCAAAGAATCCTAAGTAAAGCAGATGATTTATAGCCACTTCGTAACTTCAAATTTTCTTGTTTGTGAGGCAAAAGGGTATATGTCTCTCTTGTTTCTAAAAAAGACAAGAATTGAGGATACTTCATGAATATCCAAATCCTGAGAAAGGAAAGGATCAGAAGTGAGAGACACCTCAATTGAGCAGCTGCTGGTACAGTCAGCTGCCATCTCAACACAGGAAACTGCTTCACGTGTCACATTATTTGTCATTTTAATGCAATAACAGAACCGCAAGATTACTAAGTTAAATTTATGTAAATTGTGTTTTGGAAGTTACTAGAGCAGACTGTGGGGGCTGTTTGTACTCAGTCTGCTAATGAAAGGACCCATTTCACCCACAGAACATCAAATGAAGGAAATACTTTGCTGTACTTCCTCTGGACTATTTTGAAGATGTAAAGGATTCTGTTAAGAATGTTCCCCCAAAAGTTTTAATTTGGAAGAGATGAGGAGGAGAGAGAAGTCTGTGTTCAACCACTGTCAAAGAGGCCACCTTGGAAGCTGGGAACATTCCCTTCATTTTATTGTCTTTTCAGCAAGGCTGGTGGTATTTTTGTTCCCAACAGATTAATCTATCAAACCCCCAATGTTTTCAGGGAACCACAGACTACTCAGGCAATCCTTATGAGGATGATGTTCCTGCATCATGAGTCTAACATTCATTTCTGTAGATGGCAGCATGACTAATGACAAGGCTTTGCATTTCTATAACAATTTACAGTTTCCAGGCCACTTTCACATTCATCATCTCATTTGAGTCTCATGACAACCCTGTGAGGTCTGGAGGGCAGGAATTATTGCTCATATTTCAAACGAGGAAGAGGATCTCAAGGCTCAGAGGGGGTGTCACCTCCCCAACTTAGCAAATAATGAAGTCATGACTCTAACGTAGACCTTCTGATACTGATTTCAGTGTTTTTATCCACAGCAAATGTCCCAGTGTTCTTTCCATAGAAAATTTCCCAATTTTTTTCCTGAAGAACCATGGTGCATTTCTGAGCAAATGATATATGTGTGTGTGTGTGTTCTTTTTTTCTTTTATCGGCTGAGGTTCAGAACAGGAGACAGAAACCACTCTAAGCAGAAAAGGAATTTAATATGAGAAACTGGCTGATTACAAAATTTTTGGAAGGGCTGGAGGAGCAGAAGTCAGGTGCTGCCCCAGGCTATTCCACTCAAGAGTCCATCACTGTCTCCACGATACCGGAGTCTAGAAGCAGCTACTGTCACATGACAAAGCCAAAACTGCCTGTAAATAATATTGTCCCTATTACCTTGTTTCTCAGCATCAGCATCAGCAGGAAACTTGCCCGCATCTCACTTTCACTTCCCAAATTTCATAGGAATGCATGTGATTGGCAGAACTGAATTCTCAACCAGAAACTGCAGTTGCAAGGGAGTCTGGGGAATGTAGTTTTTAGAATGGGGATGAGCCCACCAATCATAGTTTGAATCATAACCCTTTTAAAAATGCATGGTACTCATCAACATTTTAAGGCTATTTTTTAAAAAATCCTACAGTAAAGGAAACATTAAACTTTAACCCTGCTAAACTCAGCTTTTTCCAAAATTATTTGACCATGCAACTTCTTATCCAGCAGCCCTTCATTAAGCTAAACATGCTGAGGGAAACTCTGCACTGCAGCAAGCTGGGGGCAGCCATAAAGCCACATATACATATGGGCCTCAGTGTGTCAATCAAGCAACCTATAAACATAAAATCAGTGAGCATCTGCTGCGGGCACTATGGTGGCCACTGGGGCAGCTCCATAAGCCAATCCCAGGCAATGCAACAAAGGTGAGGCGAAATCCCTTCCCTTGGAATAGTTAGTGTAGTTGAGAAAACACCCCTTTAGGCCTGGGCCCCCAGAATTTAAGATGCCAGAATTAACACTAAGTTAAGGAAATGAGTTAAGACTAGTAACTGCTGATACAACATTATAAAATAATTATAAATCAATAAAAATGTTAAAAATTAAATTAAATCAAATTAAATTTTTAAAAAGAGACAAAGAAAAAAAAAGACTAATGACTGCTATAAGACGGAAATCATGACCCATCTTTGAAGATCAAATCTAGCCAGCAATCTGAGTTTTCAAAAATAACTGAATATTGTTAAGTGAGTCAAGTACTCTCTGTTGACAGGCCCCCACCACTCTCTATTGACTCATATCTGCCCAAGTCATAAAATTATGTTTCTCTTTGGCATCTGTAGGTATCTGAGTTTGATGCACACAGGTAGACACATGCAGGTGAGAAGACTTTGTGGAAAAGGTGGGATTTGAAGGCTGAGTGGGACAGCATCCTCAGCAGCACTTCCCCAGACTTCTGAGAGAATATTCATGTTACCTACACTAGTGGGCAGGATATGGTTCAAGAATAACCCCAGATTCAGCCACAGAGGCCTCGCTGAGCACTCTGGAAACAAGTCTCTGCCTCTTTGCAGTGGAGAAATTTCTAGTGAGAACAGAATATATGAGGCAGGCCTCAACTGTGATTTAGGGAAGAGACGGCATCTTTCCCTAAAGCAAAGAGGGTACAGAAGAGGAAGCCAACATATCCCGTCTCATTTATGAGGGAGAGAGAAAACACATGCTACATAATGGCTGTTGCATCTCATTATTTTAGTGGGGTTTCCACCATGAACTAAGCATCTTTTCTGCATCCAGACTCAACTTTAAAGTGGCTTAAGTGCAATACTGAAAATACAATTCCCATGCACTCAAATTTGGAAATCTTATCCTGTAACAATTTGGGATTTTTTTCTCCCCTCATCCCCACCCCACCCCACCCCACTTATTTATATTGAAGAAACCTAATACTCACAGTCTATTTTTTCTAATGTTTTCAAAAAGAAATTCCTTTCAGGAGGACTTTTAAAAGCCCTAAGAGCATCAATTAGGGAATATAAAAATGAAGGGGTTTTTTTGTTTAAAGATAGTAGCATTACTCAGGGCCATTAAAACTGGGTTTGGGAAACTGTAGACAAACTGGAATGAATGAAAAATACTTCAATTTCCAAAGAGATCACTTTTGGATAAGAAACTACTCACTGTAAACATTATATAGCTGGTTTTATACCATAAACATCAGTTGAAAACCAACCATGCCATCCATCATCTTCAAAATGGATAGTTGGTATCCATTCTGAAAGAAACACACTTTTGACTCATTACCAACTTCCTGGAAGCTGAATTAACGTTGCTTTCCCTATTACAGCAAACATGCGTGCATGTCACCCACAAAGGATACCCCCAAGGCACTCAGTAAGCAAAGGAAAGAGTTGGGACCAGGATGTGGAACTCTGGCTTCCTGGCCTATGTGGAACACACCAAAACCAACACCCCTCAGATACCAGCTGGTTGTTAAGTCCGTAAATATTCACTGAGTACCTACTAGGCACCAAGCACTGATGTAGGCACTGGGAATATAGCAGTGTATAAAACAGATGTCTCTCTACCATCATGGAGTTTACAATCTAGTGGGGAAGTAGAATGAGATGTGAACAATCAGATGAATACACCATTTTAAGGGATAGAGGGCAATGGGGGAGGCAGAATTCTATCAAGAGAGGGTTACAGGGATAGCCTCTTTGAAAAACTCACATTTGAGCTAAGATCTAAAGGGCTGAACTTTCTGAGAAGAGGCCACAGTGAAGGCAGAGGCACTGCAGTGGAAACAGTGGGCTGTCTGAAGGGTGACGTGTTTGAAGTGAGTGAAGCAGATAAGAAAAGAAGGTGATGAGGCCAGAGACGGGCCCCCTGGTGAAGAGCTCCAGCTTCATTCTGGGGGCAATGAGAAACCACTGAACGACTTTGTATTAGTCAGCTTGGGCTGCCATAACAAAATGCCACACACTAGGGGGCTTAAACAACACATATTTACTCCTCACAGTTGGAAGCTGGAAAGTCCAGGATCAAGCTGCCAGCCAGTCTGGTTTCTGGTGACGACCCTCTCTCTGATTTGTAGACCACCACTTTCTTGTGTATGCGCATGTGGCCTTTCTGTGGGTGTTCATGTGGAGAGAGAACACATTCTCTGGTCTCTTTTCTTATAAGGACATTAATCCCATTGGATCTGAAACCCATCCTTTTGGCCACATATAACATTAATTATTTCCACAAAGACTCCATCTCCAAATACAGTCACTTTGGGGGATTAGGGTTTCAACATATGAATCTGGATGAGACACAAAATTCAGTCTATAACAGGTTTAAGTAAGGAAATAACAACCTATCTTGTTCCTTTTTTAATGGAGGTACTGGGGATTGAACCTAGGACCTCGTGCATGCTAAGCACGCACTCTACCACTGAGCTATACCTCCCAACCCAATTTCATTTTCTAAAGGTCATCTTGACTACTGTGTGGACTGTGGCTCATTAGGAAAAACAGAAGAAGCAGAGGGACCATGAGTCCTGAAGAGAGAAAACCATGACTTAGACAAAGTTGGTGGTGGTGTCGCAAATTTAA